GTCTCCCCCACACACCCGCTACCTACAGGTACGTCTCCCCCACACACCCGCTACCTACAGGTACGCCCTCAAACACCTCAAACAGAGATGCGTGACTATGGTACATTTTGCAGTATAATTCATGTCTGTAATTTCCTTTCTGTATCTAACTCAGTGTTATTATACTTTTTACATTTTATTAGATTATATTAGTTTTATATATATTTCTATTTATTTGTTTGATATTATAGTTTTAGTACATTAAGTTTTCATCATATTTTTCAAGGGATAGACTAAAAGTTGTACAGCTTTTCTCTGTCTCTGATCTTCAGAGAATCCTACAATAAATACATAGTGCACATTATGTACTAATCTCCTCAAAATGAGTAAAGCATATAAAAATGTAGAAATCATCACAATAAGTAATATATATATATTGTATATCCCACTTAAAATAATAGTTCAGTTATATTAATATGTGTGCATGAAAGGATTAAAGACAATGTAAGAAATGTTACAACTGAGTATCTGGAAAACTACCTGTTCCATCTTGGTTATGATATCTTTTACTGTAAACAGTATTAAAAACCAGTAAAGCAAAGAAAAGTTTGACATTTGTTTTCCTTTTATTTTATTTAGTTTGGGAAACAATATCTAGTGTTTTCATTTAATTATACTTTTTAATTTATTTCAGTTTACAAAAATGTTTTCTTGTCGTTTTAGTTTCGGTAACAGTAATAACCCTGATCTGCTGTTCATTCTAACATAACTCTCTTCCTTACGGGTCAGGTGATGAAGATCCAGTATGTCAATAAGCATCCCTACTACGAGAAGGCCGTCATTCCCATTGTGGACCACGTGGAGTGTCACTGCCATAGGGCTGCTCCCCTGATGGCTCCCCAGACCACACCAGCAACCCCCCCCCCTCAGCGGCAAACCCCCTGGCACCCTAAGGTCAAAGGTCACTCCAAAGAGGAGCTGCACCGACATGACGAGCTGAAACAAAACCAACGGGTGCAGCTTGTAGAAGGTGCTGAACTGGGGCTTAACTGGTCCAGCCACACCCCCACTCTGGGTCTGCCGGCCCTCAATCTCACGAGGCAACTGGGCACAGGAAGCAGCCAATTAACGCCAGAAGAGAGCAGCACCCACATCATGGAGGAGCTGTCACAACGGGACTCCCAGTTCCCTCAGTTTGAGATCTCCCAGTTACCCCAATATGACCTTCCACTTTCCAAGGAACTTGAGAGACAGGAGCAGCCTCATGATAGCACAGGGGGCCCTAAGCACCAGCACCTTGGGACCCTGGAAAGAGGGGGGCGACTAGACCATCCGGCAGGGCAGCCACAGAATAACCAGCGAGTCCTGAGCATCGACGGTGAAGAGAAGCATCCTCTTCATCACCCTCACCAGCCAGCTGAGACACAAACAAGCACACAGAGAGCAGGTAGATGGCAGGCCGTCTGCTTAACACGCCGTGCATGCATGCCGAGGCTCACCTGCTGTTTGTGCCCCCTGTCTGTTTGGTAGCGACAGCACCTCCCACTCCCGCTCACGCCCCGCCAGCTTCAAGTGTGCCGCACCCCCCGTCTCGTCAAGAGTCACCCAGGAAGAAGAGGCGCAAGAGCCGAAACCGGATAAGCAAGGCCTCCATGAGGGCGCTGCTGATGTGACAGAACCAAGCCGACAGGTCAGGAGGCGGCTGCTTTACTTCCAGGAAGAGCCTTTGCATGAAGAGACCGGCAATCGGCCTTTAAAATAACTTATTTTCATTTTTATTATTATTATTATTATTATTTCCATGTTGCCCCAAATATAAGACGTTTTTTTTTTTCACAAAATACGTCTGAAAAACTGGTGCCGTCTTATATTCGGGTAATAAAAAAGGGGATAGATGCTGAAAAATATGATATTTTGTAACTGATTCAGAGCTAAGTTTTTTGATTTACTATAATATAGGTTTCCCTTAAGATTTCTTGTATGAGCGCATGAGTCAAAAAGTGTGAGTGTCACTCCGGATGTGTGAGGGCTCCCACCCTGGGCTCCCACCCTGGGCTCCCACCCTGGGCTACCATCCTGGGCTCCCACCCTGGGCTCCCACCCTGGGCTACCACCCTGGGCTACCATCCTGGGCTCCCACCCTGGCAATGCGCATGTTTAGCGTGTCTCCCTGACTGTGCTGTGGCTTCCCTGGCTGTGCCACTGCTAGTATTAAATCGATTGTGGCTGTTAATAAAGATAGTAACATGCATTTTAAAAGAGCTGTCATATCATTTATTAATATGGCTCAAGTATTCTCCGCAGTCTCCTGAATCGAAAACACCCTCAAGGGTTGTGGAGTTTGTAATATTCATTATCTACACCCCTCCCCGCCAATAATATATTTGTTTTTTGGAATGTTTGCAAATTAATACACTTATTATAATCCATTTGTCTGTGATTGCTTTTTAAGCTATGGTTGCTGGTTAATTTATTACATGTTCTTATCAAATAAAATTATTTTATCTTAATCTAAGACTTGATATTCCAAAAATTTTTCTAAAAATAGTTGCCAAAACGTGGGAGGTCGTCTTATAATTGGGGTTATATTCTTATATTCAGGCCAAAACAGTACAATACGATATAATTTATATAATAATATCTTTATACTATATATGATATATTTCTTATATTTTTATATAATAATATTATTGATATTATTATATATTATTACAATGTAGTATGTTATGTATTGTATATTTTGTATTATACTGTGTTATTATTATTATCATTAGTTTTGAGGTGTGAGTCCTAAGAACTGTAATTATCTTAATTAACCAGTGATTTCTCACTTCATCCCCTTCGCACAGGAGCAGTGACGTTGCCTTGTGTTCTGTTCGGGAGCTGAAAGGCGCCACCGTGGGAGAATCGCCTCAAAACTCATCCATTACCATTAGCCACATAACACATTTGTGCCTGCAACTATAGTATTACTAATGATTGTCCAGTAGGCCCAAAAAGCCTGGGACACCACTAGCAGGTGCCAGAGATCCACTCAGAACTGTAGCTTCCAGCTGCCCCTGTGGTGCTAATGGACACCGTGTTTTAGGTTAAACTGGACTTAAAAGGGGAGCTGGACTGTGAAACACTTCAGTAAATAAAAAGGCCGCAGAACTTACAGCTCTAAGCCTGTAAGGCAGAGCAGGGGTCTGAAGATGCTGAAGAGTGATGGCTGACTGCAGTCAAACACTGACAGTTTCCCTGTGAGAGACACAGAAGAGGAATCACTGCTGTTATTATTTCCTGTTTAGGTTGGAATCAATAACATTTCATATACACGCTGGATTCTTGCAGTCTGAAGCTGTTTCAGGAGGGGTAATTTACAGAGTATTAGTATTTATGGCCGCAGGCTTCAGTGATTATAAACAGTGTGACTAAAGCTTTCAATTTCAGTTCTCATACATGCAGACAGTCACGCATGTGTTTCTGACTGGGTCACTGTGTCAGCGGTGTGTGGTTTGGCAGAGGACCCCCCTCCCCCCAGAGCCCCTCTAACACGAGCACACACACACATGCACACAGATGCACACTCACCACAGTTTTCTTTTGCAACAGGGCAGTAGACACTACAGGGAACCATCAAGGTACCACAGTATTTTTAACCACGCAAAAGGTCAAAGTTTGCACCTTTGCCCAGGATGCATATGCTCAGATCTTGGGCTGCCTTGTTCATTTCTCCATTTCTTTGTGGAAAAAAATTGCGGTTCCAAGACAGGAGAGTGGTGACAGACACCCCCCACCCCCACTGCGATACAATGGCAGGAGACCTTGGCCCTCAGAGAGGTGACCTGCTCCTCCGGCACAGCCAAGCCCCCCTGCACAGCACTCGATGGCCAACACTCCCTGTAAAGTATTTTCTCAACCTATTTTTAAAACAATGTAATGGGGGTGTTTCATCCTCCAGTCCCTACTGAAATTAAAGGGTGGTTATTTTAATGAAATCATAACTCATTAATGCTATTTTAATAGGAGTAACAGACTTTAGAGGATGTTTCTCATAAACAGTATTAAACTATATTTTCTTCGTTATGCTAGTCAATGAAATGTCAGGGATAATTAAACATTTACTTTAAAAGTATGTATGTACAGTATATACAGTGCAGCCTCTACTGACTGATTACTGACTCCTTGCCTTTCTCATGACTGACGTTCGTCACAACTGTAAATTGTTACATTTACATCCTAAAAGGTATTTATTTATTTATTGAGATGTCCTGATCCAGAGTAATTTAAATGATAGTCGCATTTGAACAATGCAGCAGGAATGCAATAGGGCTGAAACAAATTTGTCTTTAACTACTGAAGGCCATGAATTTATACAGCTTTCACTGCTGAAGTGATTCAGTTCCCTCCCTGGTCCTTCCCAGGTGGTGCTGTGATTAAGGAGTTGGGCTTTGCAGCTGAAAGGTCACTGGGTTAATTCTCAGTGGGGAATGTTGTATCCTCAAGGGTCATGTGTCACCTAAGTTATTGCAACTAATAGCATTTTATGTCAAAAAATATTCTAAGCAAATAAATAAGGGGCTTCTTGATTCCTGTGAGTGAACGGCTGGTCTGTTCTAAAAATACTGTCTGGTTCCTGAGTCTGGCTCCTGGTGGTTGTCTGGGTAAGTATCCTGCTTGGTCCATGCTCCCAGAAGAACATTCATATTTCCAGTGGCTGGCTGCTGTGTTGATTACAGTACTGCCCCCCAATGGACAAATGAGAGAGAACTTAAAGTGATAATACTGGACGCAGGGGTGAACTCATGGCGCATGGAATGAGGCAGACGTGGGGGCAAGAGGTCGCAGAACAGTGTTGCTCATGTTCTCCCTTCTGTCTGGAGATGCAGTGCTGACTGCACTTTGGGTAGCTCTGTCTGAGTGCTAAGATGCTACGTGGCGCCGCATGGACCAGACCCGCCCTGGCGTGAGGAGCCTACTGCTGAATCAGCTTCATAGTAAGAGGTGGCCCAGCTCCAAGACCACCTGAACTCTGGCAGCCCCTCCCTGCGGTTTCTCCTGAGATTATCTCCAGGTCATACTGCAACCCCCTCCCCAAGATGTCACACACTTTTTTGAACTGCAGACAAAAGAGGCTTCATCAGAAAGTGACCAAGTTATAAAGCAGCTAAAGCTATCCACTCTTATACTAACATGCAGGGCATGTGTCAGTTCAGGAAATGCAGTTCATCTGGGAGGTATTTCACAACACTGGAGTTATGTAACTAACTGAAGAGAGACGGTTGGTAATGCTTCCATAGCTTATTTTAGTGTTAAATCACTGATTTTTTCTGTATAGCATATGTTCATATTTGCACATGGCATTAAGTGAAGGCAAAATAGCTCACAGTCCATCTGGTGACCCAGCCCTGTGCTCCAAGCATCAGCCTGCCGCTAAATTCTCCATAGCTCTGTGAAAACAACGCACAGGATTCACCAGACGCTTCTGTAAAACAGGACAAAAAATGATTGTGTTTCACATGTGTCCCTGTGTGTGAGTGTAGAGTCACCAGAGCGCCCACCAATCGACGGCAGCCGTGGTGCTGATGTCACCAGAGCGCCCACCAATCGACGGCAGCCGTGGTGCTGATGTCACCAGAGCGCCCACCAATCGACGGCAGCCGTGGTGCTGATGTCACCAGAGCCCAATCTCTCCCTGTTTCACCACATAATCCCAATAATTTGTACACATTAGTTTGATTCTATTGTTGATGGAGTTTTCAGTTTGCCTACACACAGTACAGTTCTACACTTTTTCCACCTATGTGGCTGACAGTGCCTTCCTTGGATTACTTTGGCACATCCCTGACATGTTTCTCAGTGGGCCCGATGTAGTGCTTGACGTTCCAGCCCCTATACACGTGCACATGCACCCAGACAATGGGGCTGATCATTATCTCCTCTGGCGTGTGCAGAAGCGTTTCCTGTTATTTCATTTGAGACTAAATCTGTCCTGACGCACAAGCATCCTTCAGTTTGCGTGTGTCTATGTAAGGAAGGGGGGAGGGGGGAGGGGGGTTTAAATATACATGAAGGTAGGTGTAGGAAGCTGTTTTTATCTTTCATTGCTTTTCATATGAATGTATGGTATATGGGTGGCATGGTGGTGCAGTGGTTAGCACTGTTGCCTCACACCTCTGGGACCTGGGTTCGAGTCTCTGCCTGGGTTACATGTGTGTGGAGTTTGCATATTCTTCCCGTGTCGTCGTGGGGTTTCCTCCGGGTACTCTGGTTTCCCCTCACAGTCCAAAAACATGCTGAGGCTAATTGACGTTGCTAAATTGTGCATGTGTGAGTAAATGGTGTACGAGTGTGCACTGTGATGGGCTGGCCCCCTGTCCTGGGTTGTTCCCTGCCTCGTGCCCATTGCTTCCAGGATGGGCTCTGGACCCCCCACAACCCAGTAGGATAAGTGGGTTGGATAATGAATGGATGGATGGATGGATGTATTGTATATACAGTATATTGCATTATGATCAGATTTTGGAAGCTAATTGGTAATCCACTTTGACAGCAGAAGAATTTTGAATTTTAAAAACGTCAGTTTTACCTTTTTCCCACAAAGTCCATTCTCTCCTAGTTATTAGATCGTACATAAGTAATTTTCAATAGGTATTATAGACCATAAGCTACCCAAGCCAATTTTGCAAGATCTCGATCATGGTCTTTCCATCCTCTGTTCAAGCTCTAGAACTTGCTTTGTAAAAAAGGAGCCACTGCATATCATAACATTGATCACGAGATGGAAACATAGCAGCTCTTTCCCCACAGGCACTTTCTGAGAATTGCAATACTTCTGTATGGCCACTGGGTGGCGGATGTTGCTCAAAATTACAAATTATTAGGTAGATGCCATATTTTTCCTTCTAAAAAGTGTAAACTTTATTTAGATACTATGCCGTGTTGGAATCTGAAGGGTGTTGATTAACCTTCTGTAACCACACGCAAAAGGCCAGCTGAGGTAAATAACAAGGCAAAGAGATTGCTCCAAATCATTTACACAACAATCATGACCTGTGGTCACCCTGCTGAAAAACTAGCATAGACCAGCACAGCTATGCTGGTCCAGCAGCTATACCAACACCAAACCAGCACTGGAAATCAGCCTGGTCTAAGCTGTTTCTTTCAGCAGGGCAGTCATTAAATAACAAAATGTTTTTCTGATGTAATACACTTTAGATTAGATTAGATTGACTTTATTAATCCCACAATGGGGAAATTCCTTAGAAACAGCAGCAACAATAAAAAAGACAGTATAACAGGATCCATAGGATCAGCAAAAATAACAATACAAGAACAATACAGACAATAAAAACATTAGAAAACAATTTCTAAATTGTATAAATATATAAGTAAAAATATAAAGAAAAAACATATACACAATAGTCCAGCCAAAATGTGATGCTGCGGGGTCAGTCAGCATATGCAGTTACTCGCATGCTTTGCATCACACTGTGGGCATGTGTAGTTTAAACTAATATGTGTATTCACACATTTATGTTGTTAAGTGTCATACCTGTGAAATGAATAACCGTGAGTGAATTTGTTGTGCAAAATGTTGATTTCCATGTTTGTTCCACTAGTAAAGTGAGCTTTTGATGACTGACCATGAAGACTGAATCTCCTTTTTAAATAAGTAGTTGTTTCCTTTTATTGCAGAGAAAGTAGTGGCTAACACAAGGAGAACCCTGTGAATCGAGCATTGTGTCTTTTTAGGGTGATCCATTAAAGCTAGAATGCTGAGGTGGAGATTTCAGGTCCAGAAAGTATTAATCCAGACCAAGATTTTGGTTTAACCAACCAGTTGAGTACTCTGTGACTGTGACCCTTTATACTCAACTGGTTGGTTGAAACAAAATCTTGGTCTGGATTTGTACTCTCTGGACCTGAAATCCCCACCTCTGCTAGAATGTTGTACTGCCAAACCCAGAGAGCAGAGGGAGCCGTGGTTCAGTGATGTAAGGTGCCCAGTTTGGAAGTGCTGAATAGTGGGACACAGACTGCTGTGAAGCTACCCTGCTTCTGCAAAGAGGGGCGCTTGGAGCCTTATCTTGCCTAAGTACGTCAGGCACTCCAAGACCTCATCAGCCTTAGCCAGGACGATTAGCGAGATTACGCCACTTCATGTTCAGGTACCAGGTTCAACTGGTAGCCGTTGGAAGAGGCCTCATCCACCTAATCACCCCCCTCAGGCACTGACCAGCCAACCCCACCAGGGTGGGAGACAACCCAGGTCCAACTCGCATTTGTCACCAGTATGTCTGCACCAATGAGGGGGAGAAGGCAGCTCTATATCATTCTGGCAGGGCAGACCATTGGGCAGGAGGTATGATGGAAGCCCTCAATAAGTAAAATGATGATATTTGAGGACCACCACACACATAACCATTGTTGTGGTCTTGTATGCAGCCATCAAAAAAGGTTTTAACAAATAATCAACACTAATAGCATTTTATGGTATGAAGATGCTTTTGAACAGCTTGCCAATTACCACAAAAAAATTCGATGTTGTATTCAGTCAATAAAATAACACTTACAGTATTTCTGAATTTCTAAAACTCTAAACCTTATTCTTGGAACAAAACCACCAATGTCACTGATTAATGAAACTCAGTCACTGATTTAGCAAAGCTGATTAGACACTTAGACACATTGTGCAGATCTGAGTCACCCATTTTCCGAAACTCTAAACACATTGTCATTTATCAAGACACCTTTTGCACCGTTGTGAAAGTTGAAATACGGGCCGCAAAAGTTAAGCACAGCCAGCACAAGGTAGTAATCATTCAAACACGATTACTCAAAATTGTTCACACGTTTCTAAAAATGAGAAGAAGCCAAAGAGTGATTAGAACATATCTGTACACAATCATTTTTGGTAGACAACATTTGTTTTACTGTAGTCTTGTGGTTTTCAGTTTTGCAGCTCAACATGCAAAAGACTGTTTCTCTACATGCCGGTTTTGCCTGGTAGTGTTTTCAGTTTTTTCGCAGTAGCGTGCAATGACTGCTTAGTAGTGTGTTTTTAACTGACTGGCTTGATGCCTGATCTGAAAGCAGTGTTTGTTGTTGAGCAAAGATAAGATTGACTTTGCAAGGCGAGTTAAAGGATTAGTGAGCGTGGCTTGAATTTTAGGTTTTGTGCTTAGTGTTTTGAGAAAATGAGAGATTTTAGAAAATACCTTTTAGCAATTCAGAAAAACTGTAAAACACCGTGTTTCCTGCGAAAGCCAAACTGGCTGGTAGCACGCAAACTTTCAAACTATAGATATCGCTTAAATAATAAATATAATAAAGTAATCAGTCACAAGAAGCCATTCATTTACTTGAATCATATTTTTCACACTTTATTGCTGACATATTTTTGCTATTCTGTCTTTTTTTTCATAAAATGCGGCGATTAACGTCATACTCGGCACCGTCACACATGGAAATGTCATGACATCAACCTAAACTCCACTATCTAAAATACTCAGATATCTCAGAACCTCCTAAAGCACCGACGCAGAAGTGTTGGGCTTGACTTCCATGATATATTACTGGTGCTAATGC